AGTAAATGTTTCATTTGAAATTTCCAAGTGTTCCAATTGCTCCCGTTAAGTTTTTCGATCAAGAACTTTTCCTCCATGTTTCATTTACGTACTCCTGGGCCCATAACCTAAAGTTCTTTGCACGATTAAAAGAAACTTCTGCTTCTTTTATTCCGATCACGTCCAAATAAACGGTTACCACGACAGAGAGAGAAAACAAATTACACTAGTATATATATGCTAATTCCTAAAAAAAGAAAGTTTGAATAACAAAAGGAAAAGAAACACCTGGACCAATCATAGATGAAATTAACTATTCCTGTGAAATATTTCAAATTTAAAATAACAACGGCAAACATAATATGCATAATAACAACAATTACTGCTACAATATTACTACAGTTATAAGCTTTGCATTAGTTTACTATATTATGAGTTAAAAGATACGTACAGTTGTCATACAAATTAAATACAATTTAATTGCCAGTGAGTTAAAACAAGACAAGACATTAAAACAAGACATTGTACTCGTACATTGGCTAAATGAAACGTTGACCTGTCAGAATTGAAAAGTCTCTGTTTTTCCGATCTGCCTAACTTCGCGGCCGTCAAACCATTCAAAATTTTTCAAGGATGAGTACTATCTATCTGGGTATTTTCCACGGACGAGCACTATGGACTGATAGCGTCACGTGATCAATTTAAACCAATAACAATCGGAGAAAATTTAGTGGTGAACCATACATACATAACATATATAAGCTTTATTTATACACGGTATCAATTTCATATAATATATACTCTTCCATCGAGCGGTGTGTAACTTAAATATGCAAATAATCATTCATAAGCTATTTAAAACGAACACTATCTCTCCTAATGAATATAATTATACAACGTATGCTAATACTAATATTCCAATACTATATACCAACAGCAATGCTAAAACTAAAAACTAATACTACAACTTGTCACACAATAAGAGCTATTAAATCCTAAAATAAAAATATCTTTAAGATTATGACAAAAAGCAATTGCTATGTCAGCAGGGATTCTTTGAACGCAGTAACAGTCGGGTCTGGGTTTTGCTAGTAGTTGAGAGGCTGTTCCATAGTGTAGCACCTCGATAGTACAGGCTACGTTTTCCGGCTTCAGAGAGTGGTCTATGAGTAAAGAGATTATGAGCCGAGTCCCTCAAATTATAGGTATACACTTAAGATATTGTTTGAAAAAGATTATGAAGGCGAAGCGGAAAGTGATTATTGACCACCTTATACATAGCAATCGCTAGCTGTTTAATTCGCCTTTCTTCAAGTCTATCCCTGCCAAGGTCATGTAATAACCAAAAAGATGGCGTCATTTAATCAGAACTGGTTATTATACGAGCAGCCCTATTTTGTAGCTTCTGGAGTCTCTCAGATTGGCATTTTTTGATACAACCCCATACTGGGCTATAATAGTCGAAAAAGGGAACAACCGAGACATGGCTCTGGCCCGCTTTAGAATTGCCAGGCCAGCCGACACTTTTTTAACAATCTGATCAATTTGAGAGTGCCACGTTAAAGTATCATCAATTTCGACCCCTAGGTATCTGTGGGTTCTGACTCTATCCATAGAATGTCCATTTATTCTTACATCAGGTTGATGATCTAGATGTGTGATCTTGTATTGAGTAGCAATAATGGAATATTTAGTTTTCTTCACATTAAGACTAAGTTTATATGCTTGGAGCCAAGACTGGATTA